GCGTCTGCCTTCGGCTCAGGTCATGATCCCAGGGTCCTGGGATCGAGCCCCGCATCGGGCTCCCTGCTCAGCGGGAAGCCTGCTTCTCCCTCTCCTACTCCTTCTGCTTGTGTTCCCTCTCTCACTGTGTCTCTCTCTGTCAAATAAATAAATAAAATCTTTAAAAAAAAAGAAAGAAATGGTGTGAGTCTTCATATGATGAGAACATTTTTTTCTAGCCCTGTAGCCTTTGTAAGTCCAAAAATAGTCTAGGGGCCCCTTCAGCCCGTGGAGGGTTCTCTCACAACTCTGAGAGAAAACCGGAAATTAGTCCACTGGTGGGCACTGTGTGCTGTGACCGTTTTCCTGTTAAGAGGTGATCTTTCTCAGTAGAGGCAGGGCTGGCCACCCCTCCTGGTAAGCCAGCGGTCTCTCCGATTGCAGAGGGGAGGACCTGAGCTCTCAGCTCACTTTGTTACACACCTATCTCACAGCTCCTTAATGACCCTACCCTTTGGCTTTTGTCTTCTTGACTTATTTGTTTGGTTGCTATTTTGGGGGGTGGGGAGGAGTAATTGAATTCTAATGCCTTTAAGAGGAACAAGTAATTTTCTATTCTCCTCAAACTCCATCAATCCTTCTTTCTTTCTTATCTTACATATACATAAATAAGTGAAACACTGAAGTGTCTCTCCCCATTTTCACCTATTACCATAGCTACGTCTAGAATCAGTTTTTTAAATGGCATGTCTCTTGATATAAAAAGTAAAATTAACTTAAGATTCACTGGGCATCCCTTTATGAATGTATCTGTGAGTGTAAATACAAATTGAAGTCAATTTCCTTGGTCACGTGATCTATTTTGGTTAGCTATATGTTTATGATAGATAGAAAACACACCAATTTCATCTAAATTGTTATTATATTCTGAAGTTCATTCTAGTAATTATTTTTCCCATTATAGCTCCATGTACAGAATAGAATATTGAGCTAATTAGATAACTTAGTTTAAACAAAAATAGTTTTGTTCTTACAATTATCTTAGGTAGGGGGGGATTTTGTCTGAGTTACACAGTTAAGTTTCCTCATTATTGAATTTTTACTCTGTGTAGACATGAACTCAGTGTAATTGTAGGTTTATATGATTTGTCAGTTTCTAACTTTTCTTCCTTAATAATTCTGTGCAAAAAGTTATGGTTGTTGGGGGAACCATAACTTTGGGTTCCCTGACATTTTCATCACTTGGAAAACCTGGTGAACATGCTGTTATCATCTGATGCTGAGGTGAGCCAGGCAAGGTTTAATGGGGGGCAGCGACCTCCTCATTGTAAACATCAGCCCATCCTTATGATTTCCAGTGCTTTGTTTTCTGAGGGATCAGATAAAACTACCAAGAACAAAGTGACGGCATGTCTTCCTTTTTGCTCTGAATTTGATGCAGGAGGAACAAGTTATAAGAAATAATAGGTTATTTTTTCTGTTTTAAGGAAAATGTTGACTTGTAGATAATAGTGACTTAGCTTTCATTAAGTTTATAAAGGGAGATATGTTCTAACTCCTGTTCCTTTCTATTATTTATAAATTTCTAAATGTACTTCTTTGCAATGACAGTCTGGAAAGAGACTTCCATGTGACTCCTCAAGGATCCATTAATTCTTTTTTTCTTAATTTTATTATGTTAATCACCATACATTTCATCATTAGTTTTTGATGTAGTGTTCCATGATTCATTGTTTGCGTATAACACCCAGTGCTCCATTCAGTACATGCCCTCTTTAATACCCATCACCAGGCTGGCTAACCCATCCCCCCATCCTCCTCCCCTCTAGAACCCTCAGTTTGTTTCTCAGAGTCCATAGTCTCTCATGGTTCGTCTCCCCCTCTGATTTCCCCCCTTCATTTTTCCCTTCCTGCTATCTTCTAATTCTTGTCTTTAAATGAAAGTATTCAGGGTGCCTGGGTGGCGCAGTTGGTTAATTGTCCGACTCTTGATTTCAGCTCAGATCATGATCTCAGGGTCCTGGGATTGAGTCCCA